GCTAGCTACAGCTAGCTAGCTAGCTACCCAGCTGCTGGCTAGCAGCCTCAACAGCTGCCAGTAGCTGGATGGTTGGCTAGCTACACAGCCAGCTAGCCAGGTACCCATATAGTTTTCTGGTTAGCTAACTAGCTAGGTAACTAGCTAGCTAACTAGCTAGCTAACTGGTTAGCTAACTAACTAGCTAGCTGGCTAGTTAGCTGGCTAGCTAGCTGACTAGGTTGCTAGCTAGCTAGCTAACTAGCTAACTATGTAGCTGCCTATCTAGCTGTCTAGCTAGCTGCCTAGCTAGCTGTCTAGCTATCTATTTATTAGCTAGCTAGCTGTCTACCTAGCTTCCCACCCAGCTAGCTGGCTAGCTAGCTAGCTAGCTAGCTAGCTAGCTAGCTGCTGCGAAGGGGCACAGTCCTACTAAAAGCGCAACTACCTCCGTAAACCCTAAACCCTAAACCCTAAACCCTGGAGGGTTCGTTGCTGCGCAGAAAGCCTCCAGGGAGAGCTGCGTTTGCGGCAGCTGACGGAGACTGCGGAGTTGCTGCAGCAGCTTGCGGTGTACGTACACCCAAGGGCCCCACACTTCAGCAGCAAGCTGCTGCAGCTGCGTCGCAGCGAAGGTCTGCAGGCCAGCGCCCACAGGTGAAACTGTTTTCTTTTTGGGGTTTTTGGGGGTCTTTTTGAAGCTTTTTTCCCCCTTTTTTCCCCTCCAGTTTCTTCTTTTCTTCTCCTTTTTCTTTTTCCACTTTTCTCCACTTTTTCAAGTTTTTTCTTCGCTTTTTTTCACTTTTTTTCGCGTTTTTTCGCTTTTTGCCTTTTTTCGCACTTTTCGCCTCCTCGGCGCTCTTTGCCTCACCGCTTCTCTCCTTGTCTTTATAATATTCTTATTTTTTAATTTTGTTTTATTTCATTTTATTTTATTTTAATTTATTTTAATTCATTTTATTTTTGTTTTATTTTCATTTTATTTTATTTTTATTTAATTTGCTTTTTATTTATCTCTTTATTTCCGTTCTATTTGTCTATTTATTTGTGGCCACTTTTTGCCGCTTTCTTGCCCGCCGCCTCTCCTGCTGCTGCTGCTGCTGTTGCTGCTGCTGCTGCTGCCGTTGCTGCTGCTGCTGCTGTTGCTGCTGACCTTTCTCCTGCTCATTCTGCTGTTGCTGCCGTCGCTGCAGCTCCTCCTACAGCTTCCGCTGCTGCTGCCGCTGCTGCTACTGCTGCTGCTGATAGAGCTGCTACTGCTGCTGCTGCTAGAGCTGCTCCTGCTGCTGCTGCAACTGCTGCTGCTGCTGCTGCAGGTACGAGGCTGCTGCTCGTTTGAAGGCAGCAGCAGATGAGCTGGAGAGGGAGGAACTGCTGCTGTGGAAGAAACAAAGAGACTCCGCAGTGGAGCGGCGTTACTTGCTGCTGCAGCAGCAGCAGCAGCAGCAGCGCGACAGCCTAGACACCCGCTTAGCAGCAGCAAAGCAGCAGCTAATGAGGCTGCATGCAAAGGCCCTCGAGCAGATTGTCAGAAGATACTTCCACCTCAGGAACCACACTGTCCACCATGTAACGCTGCTGCTGCTGCTGCTGCTGCTGCTGCTGCTGCTGCTGCTGCTGCTGCTGCTGCTGCTGCTGCTGCTGCTGCAGACGTTGCCGGTGCTGTTTTGTTGCTGCCGGTTTTAGCAGCGCTGCTGAAGCTGCTGCTGCTGCCGCAACTGACGTGCTGCCTTTGTCGTTGTTTGTGCTACAACTGCTACCATTGATGCTCTTGCTGCTGCTGCTGGTGCTGCTGGTGCTGCTGCTGCTGCAGCAACTCCTGGAGAGCATCCGCACGAGCGAGCAGCTGCGGAAGGCAGCAGCAAAAGACGCGTAATAACAACTAGCCATGCGGCTTCACACCCTGCTGCTGCTGCTGCTGCTGCTGCTAAAAGGCACGCAGCAGCCACAGCAGCAGCAACAGCAGCAGCAACAATAGCAGCAACAATCAGAAAAAAGAACCAAAGAGACCATTAATGAAAAACTCAAATGCTTTCATTCCCAGGCAACGCCAAACCCCATGAAAATTAAAGGCAATTCAACAAAAAAAACTGTTGCAGCAGCAACAGCAGCAGCAGCAGCAGCAGCAGCCCCTGCAGCGGCAGCTGCAGCCCCAGTATTGAGCCTGCTTGCGCATATCTTGATCAGGATTTAAGAAATGAAAAACTGCTGCTGCAGCAGCAGCAGCAACTGCTGCTGCTGGCAACAGCGGCAGGAGCAACTGCTGCTGCTGGCAGCAGCAGCAGCAGCAACGGAACTGCTGCTGCTACTTCCTCCTGGCCAGCATTTGCTTATCTGCAAACAGCTTTTTAAACTGTTGCAGATACACCCGCTCGCCACCACCGCTGCTGCTGCTGCTGCTGCTGCTGCCTGCTGCTAAGTGGCGCAGCATCAGCTGCAGCTGCTCCGGAGTAAAAGGAGAGCCGCAGCACTCAGCAGCAGCAATAAGGTCTTCTAGAGTTATGTACCCTGAAGAGCAAACACGCACTGCTGCTGCTGCTGCTGCTGCTGCTGAAGGCAATAATGCTGTTGCTGCTGCTGTTGCTGCAGCTCCGCAGCATCATGCGTCTGGCTTGTGCAGCAGCAGCAGCACAGCAGCAGCGACAGGCGCAAATAAACAGCAGCAAACTCCCTAAACCCTAAACCCTAAACCCTAAACCCTAGAAGCTCTAAGCGCCGCGGCTGCGCCTCGTCCGCTGCCCAACAGCAAAGGCGCGAGCCACCCCTCAGCAGCAGCAGCAGCAGCAGCAGCAGCAGCTTTTACCTTTATTGTCAGCATCAAAAAGAGCAAAGAGCTGCTGCGGGTCGCTGAGCTGCTGCTGCTGCTGCTGCGGCAAAAGGCCAGCAGCAAAAGAGCAGAAGCTGCTGAAAGATATTCCGGGGGAAGCACTCAGCAGCTGCAGCATTCTCTCGGCCTGCAGCAAACCATCAAATAAATAAATACATAAATAAATAAATAAATAAGTAAATAAATAAATACATAAATAAATAAATAAATAATAAAATAAATAAATAATAAACAAATAATATTTTCTTTTATTCAATTAGGGAAAAGACACAAAAACCGCGGCAGCCGAAGCCGCGCAGCAACAGCAGCAACAGCAGCAGCAGCAACAGCAGCAGCAGCAGCAGACCGTAGGTTCAGGTGTCTGTACACCTAGGGCGGTGCATGCAGCTCTGAACTCTTTGGGCTGCAGCAAACCATCTCCGTCTCTGTCGAAAACAGCAAAAGCTTCCTTAAGGATCTGTTGCTCCGCAGGAGAAAACGCAGTTGCTGCTGCTGCTGCTGCTGCTGCTGCTGCAGCTGCTGCTGTTGGGTGCTGCGGCGGCTGCTGCTGCTGCAGGGATGGTGCTTGGTGCTTGAGGCTGCTGCGCTGCTGCTGCTGCTGCTGCTGCTGCTCTGAGATCACATACGGCAAGTAGGGCTGCTGCTGGACGTGCAGCTGCTGCTGGTGCCATTTGAAATCTGCGTTTGCTGCTGCTGCTGCTGGTGCTGCTGCTGATGACCGAATCCCCGGTTCCTTCTGCTGCTGCTGCAGCAGCAGCTGGTGCTGCTGCTGCTGCGACTCTGAGCCCAGGGAACGGAGCAGCGTGGGGCGGGGGTCTTGCAGCTGCTGGGCGAGCAGCAGCGTTGGAGGCCTCGCCATAGCAGCAGCAGCAGCAGCAGCAGCAGCAGGAGCTGCAGCAGGGGAGTTTGCTGGCAGTTGCTGCCTCCAGGAGGATCTGAAAATGTTAATAATAAATAAAATTTAAAAGAATGCAAATTCTGCTTCTTTTGGTCTCAGTGCTGCTGCTGCAGCAGCCCGGTGATAGGCGGGTGTTGGGGTCGGTGGCGCCCTTGCTGCTGCTGCTGCTGCTGCTGCATGCAGCAACTGCGGCAGCAGTTTATTGTTATATGTTTTGTGTCAAAGCCAAGTTATGTGTCAAGAATTTTGTATGGAAAATTATATTTCAAAGAAAATTAGTAACAGCAGCAGCAGCAGCAACAGCAGCAACGGGAGTGACCTTGAGGGAGGCAGCGACTCCTGCTGCTGCTGCTCTGAATCTACAGAACCAGAACAACACCAGCAGCAGCGAAGACAGCAGCAACAAACAAGTCAAGAGTGCCTGTGCAGCAGCAGCAACCGCTGCTGCTGCTGCTGCTGCTGCAGCAACTGCAGCAACGGCGAGCTGGTCAGGTGACCATAGAGGTCTTTGAGCTTCTGCAACAGCAGCATCAGCAGCAGCAGCGAACAGGGCAGAATCAGCGTCAACAGCAGCAAGAGCAGCGGAAACAGCTTCAGTAGCAGCTGCAGCAGCAGCAGCAACAGCAGCAGCAACTGCTGCAGGGAGGCAACCGCAAGCAGCTATAGGACATGTGTCTGTCACCCACCCAGGATGGCGTGCAGCAGCAACAGCAGCAGCAGCACTGTGGAGATCAACTGCAGCAGCAGCAGCAGCAGCAACACTTTGAGGAACACGAAGAACAACACACACCAGCAGCACAGAACCGCACTCATACTCAACAGCTACAGCAGCAGCAGCAGCAGCAGCAGCAGGAAAGGGAGCCGCAGCAACAGGAGCATGTCCTGAGTCGCCAGGTTACTGAACAGGAGGAGGAGGAACAGCAGCAGCAGCAGCAGCAGCAGCAGGAGCCGCAGGAGGAGCAGCAGGAAGAGCAGCAGCAGCAAGGAAGCCAAAGCAGAAATCTTTTCAGGGTTGGCAACGCGTTGCACTTGGCACAAGACAGCAGCAGCAGCAGCAGCAGCAGCAACAGCAGCAAGCAGTCGCGTCGCCGCCGAGGTTTGCGAGCTCCGGGCTGCACTTGCACCTTTCCCCACAGCAGCAGCAGCAGCAGCGGCAACAGCAGCAGCAGCAGCGCAGCAACAGCAGTGTTTGTTTGCTGCTGCAGCTGGAACATTGCTTCCCGCTTCGGAGTCTGGGAGTGTCTCCTTTATTTGCTGTGTCTGCTGCGCAGCCAGGGGACTGACAGCAGCAGCATGGCAATGGCTGTGCTGCAGGCCTTTGTGCTTTGCGAGAGAAGGCGAGAAATTCTCATCAGCAGCAGCAGCAGCAGCAGCAGCAGCAGCAGCAGCGGCAGCAGCGGCGGCGGCGGCGGTGACTGCAGCTGCGGCGGGGGTGGAGGGGAGGCGGGGGAGGAAGGGGAGGTGCAGCGCTGCAGTTGCTGCTGCACTTCTCAGCAGCAGCAGCAGCAGCAGCAA